AGCAAGACCCTTTCTCAAAAACAAACAATACAAAAAGGCTGAAGATGTAGCTCAGTGCAAGCATCCTGGGTTCATGAGTCTAATAAAACAGGGAGTGGGCTAGCCAAATAGCTCAATGGATTAAAGCACCTGCAAGCAGGCGCAGGGGCTGGGGGTTCGATCCTCAGGCCTGCCATGCCAGCCCCACCCCCCAGGACACGCTGACACGGCAATTGAGACTGAGTGTGGTGGTGAGCGCCTGTAATCCCAGCCTTTGGGAGGCTGAAACAGGCAGATCACTATGAGTCCAATCTAGTAGTGAGACACTGAACATCTTGTAGACCCTTCCCTAAAATATAAAAAAAAGAAAACGGAGTGAGCAACAGACCCGGTGCCAGCAATAATGTGGAGCCAATTCCAGCCATTGCAGCTCTGCCCTGCTCCTAAGCATGGCCTGCTCACCCAGCTCCATTCTTTCACGTGTTCTTCCTGCTGTCCCTCCACCAGGTAGATTATATGACTCCTAAGTTTTGAGAAGATGACACTTGCACAGGATAAAAACATTGGAAAAGTCCTAAAGGGACTATGGTGGCAAGATGTCTTCCTCTCACCTGTGTCCTAGCCATCCATTCCCTCCCTGGAGGCAACCATTGTTCCCCCTTCTCACAGTGCTCTTCTAGAGCCAGTCCCGCACTGCCCTTAGCATGCACCAATGCACAGGCACACACACATGCACTCATTCTCCTGTGTGACTGTCACGTCGGGCACCCTTGGAGACCACACCGTCCAAGGCCCAGATGGTCTACATCCATCTTTTCAGTGGCTTTCTCAGACTCTGTTGTATGCACTTGTATGCTCTTTCCAACACTGGCAATGTTAATAGGCAATGCCAAGGGGAACCCCAGGACAAATTCTTTAGAAGTGCAACTGCTGGGTCAGTAGTCTGAGGGTTTTTAATGTTAATGGGATTTTCCAGATGCAAGAAAATGCTGCCTCCTTCCAATGCACATGCGCACATGCAAACACACAGCCAGCCCAGCCTCTGGGCTAAACCTTACCCCACACCCAAATCCCCGAATTCTCTTCAGGCTTCCACTCGTCCTTCTTATTTCCCATTACAAGGCTGTATCCAAACTGTGAGGGCCACAACCCAGCCCCCACCCCAGAGCTTGCACAGCTTCTGTATGCAGCGGAGAAGCCCCACATTCTGCGTACATGATGGTTATCAGCATTTCTCGACTGAAGCCATCCTGGCAGCTGTACATGGGAAGAAAAGACTCCCTGGGAAGGCTAACGGTCCTGTCAGTTTGACTCTGGTGTAAGTCACTTTGGGTGGTCCCCCATGTGGGGCAGACACTCTGGGATTTAGAAAATTCTGTCTTCGCTCCTTAATGAAAGAACATTACATTGCTGAATACTGTAGCTACCTGCTTTGGGGGTCCAGTCTGTCTGTTTCTTATGTGCTGATTCTAGGGTCACTGTCTGATGCCCTGAGCACTGGGTCCCCGGCCATGCTGATGCGAATGAGGCATTGCCTTCTAAGGACCCAGGAACATCAGCCTTTTCTGAATCAGAGTCCAACATCTCCCTCTTACAAGCTCATGCCAGGTTCTCCTCTCTGTCTGCAACCTGTTGGTCTCTTTCTTTCACTCAGTTACTCACTCATCCTCTTCTGGACAGATCACACCCAAAGATCACTTCCCTTTGAGGGGAGCCCTCGATGTCCCGAGACCATCTCAGATGACCCATTTTATACTTAGATTGCTTTCTTTACTTCCTCTATATAACTCCCAGCACAGCTTCAATAAAATAAACAGCTCAACAGTGGCTCACCTGAGGCCCCCACCGCCATCCTCCACCAGGGCCATCCCTGCAACAGATGCCTCAAAATGTGCCTGCTGTGCTCACTGCTGTGTCCCAAGACCCCAGCACAGTGTCTGAACCTGCCAGACTCTAGGAAACACATGCAACATGGGCAAATGCCTGTCCTGGCCTTGTGGCTTTGAGCAATAATAAAGATAACATTTGGTGAGAACCTACCACATGCCAGGCACTGAGAGTTTTGTTCCTTTAATTTCATATCCACGAGTGAATAATGACTTATTGTCATCCCCCTGACACCTCTGTCACACAAGGTCACAGAGCTCTGTAAGTGACCATGCTGGAATCAAACTCCAGATCTGTCTAGTGTCAAAACCTCGCTGTCAGGCCTGGAGCTCCATTCACTTCTCAGAGCATGTCTCGCAGAATAAAGGTCAGACCTCCAACTTCACAGGGTAGGGCTCATGTCGGCAAGCTGTACAGAGGCCTGAGCTATGACTCCTAGGGATGCTCTCCAAGGCCCAGAGAAGAGGAGCACACAATAAGCTGACCAGCCTTCCACTCAGGTTGCAGTTGCCAGCAATGCCCACAGCGAAAGCCTCCCTGGTAGAAAGCGGAGGGGAGTCACTTCTCCACAGGACTAAGTTCTTCAGAAAGTGCCTCTTCCAGGGTTATAAAGACACAGATGAAAAAAAAAAAAAAAAAAAAGACATAGATAAGATCACGTAAGAGGAAGTGCTGAAATACACAACTGAATCACCTGTGGGCAAGCCTGCAAAGTGGGAAAGAGAAGTGGCTGCCTGAGTTTTGTATCTTTCACACACACACACACACACACACACACACACACACACACACACACGAGTCGGAGAATACAGGAAGTGGAGTAGACCGTTGCTAAATCTGTTGACAGGCAGACAAGATGTCATGCACATTGTGCTGTTTTCTCAACTTTCATGAGTGCTTGGAAATGCAAGTGTGAGGTTGTGAGCTTGATTCCCAGTACAAAATAAAATTTTGAGGAAAATAAGGAGGGAGGGAAAGACTGAAGGACAGGGTGAAGGAAGGAAAAGAAGAAAGGGAAGAAAGGAAGAAAAAATTTTAGTCAGACTCTCAAAAGAAAAAAAAAACATCTTTTTGCTGCCCCCTCCAAAGTTAATTAAGTGTGGCTGTGAGACCCATGCTGTTTGGGCTATTTATGTAATGAAAAGATCCTCTAAAAATAGAACCCAGAGGCCCAGCTTGCAAAACCTATCGTTGAGCCAGCTGGAGCAACAGAAGGTGATGGGGAGCCCTGATCCGGGCTTCACCAGTCGTTATTATTAAATGAGGCTTCTTATATTCAGGCTGCAAAAAACGCTCCAGGCAAGAGCCTGGGAGAGGCTTAATTTCTGCCCCATGGATATTAGCTTGCTTCGATTTGTGCATGCTTTCAGACCTGGGGAGATTGCCTGCTGACTGCTCTCTGAAAAATAAGAAGGAGCGCATGTGAAAGTGCCTGAGAATCAAGCAAGTCCTTAGCTTGTTCCTTACAAGTTGGAGCTACAGAATACCACCACTAGAAGGGAATCTTGGGGATTTTCTGGTGACCAGGAGCTCTGATTTAACCACAGGCCTTTTGTATGCGATTTTACTGGGGTGGGCATTTTCAGGGAGGAGAGAAACAGGGAGCAAGGAAGGGAGGGAGGGACAGAGGGATAGAGAAAAGGGCAAAGAAAGGGAAGAAAAAGAATGATAGACTGACCATGACCAGGCTTCCTATAGGCCCTTAGAAGGCCCACTGAGTTCTGTGTGGCATACCTGGACCAGATGTGCTGCTAAATAATATGTGGAGTAAAAGGAGAGTGTGTTGCTATATGCCTGTTATCCTAGAATTCTAAGAGGCTGAGGCTGGAGGGTCACAAGTTTGAGTGCAATCTGAGCAACTTAAAGACTTAGAAAGACTCCATCTAAAGATATATGATAGGTAGATGATAGATAGATAGATGATAGATAGATAGATAGATAGATAGATAGATGATAGATAGATAGATAGATAGATAGATAGATAGATAGACAAATAGATAAGTAATATAGCTCACTGAAAATGCCCTGCATTAAGTCCCCAGTACCACAGAAAAAGTAAGGTTTAGAGATGAGTTTTGAGCAAGGTTGGGATTAATGAAAGATGGAAACAAAAATGACAAATTTCAAACTAAATCTGGCCCTCTGCCTGGCTATACAGCCCGTGAGTTGAGTGGTTTTCCTGTGTTGAAGAACTGTTGGAAAAAATGAAAAGAAGATTTTCATGAAAATTACACAAAATCATCCTTGCTCGTGTGTCCATGTGGCCTGCGTCACCACGTCCTCACCACCACAGGCACAGCTGAGCCACCGCCACAGACTCCTCATGCCAAGCAGAAAGCACCCACCATCCAAGCCTGCTTCTGAAATAGTTTGTTGACCTCTTGTAAAAAAAAAAAAAAAACAGTTCCAAATACTGTTTTAAGTACTTTAGAAGAACAAATAAATTGCATGGGTTTTGTTTTGTTTTGTTTTGTTTTTGTTTTTGTATTTAGTACAGGGTCTAACTACACAGATCAGACTTATAGTGATCCTCCTGTTTTTCAGCCTCTTGAAAGCTGGAATTACACCTGTGTACCACTACAACCAGTCTTAGTTGCTGTCTCAGTGCACCCTGGGGACGGTGCCAGCACAGCAGGGCAGGCCAAGGAGTGAACTGGGGATCAAACCAGGGATTGAACCCTGGTCCCTGCATCTGCCTAAGCAGGTGCTTTAATCTGCTAAGCTATCTGGCCAGCCCTATAAATTGCATTTTGTTGACTCATTTCTCTTACCCTCTATCAGATGCCTATCTTAATGCCTACTGTGGGCTCAGGCACTGGAAACCAGCAGGGAGCAAAGATTCAGTTCCTGCTTTTGTGGAAATTAGTGTCTGGGTCTAGCTCTGCCCCTTTTACCACATAAATGTTTTAGCTCTCCCAGATGTTTCCTAGAAGACACTGCATTCCACCCCTTTAACCTATGTTCATTCCCCTTCCCTGTGTGCATCCATTTACCTCCATCTCTCCTAAGAAGAGGTCCCTAAAATGGCTTGTGCCATTTTGTCAGGAGATAGAGGTCTCAAAGGACTCACATTGAATGAACCCATGCTCTCCATCTAGCTTTGAAGTTCTGAACACTCACCTTTGCATTTTCAGCTCCTGACTTCCAGGGACCCCAGCGCAGAAGACCGGATCTTGTAGATGAAAGCAGTGGCCAACTATGGAAGACAAGGCTGTGTGTGTGCATGATCTCTCCCACCCAAAAACAAAGTCACCTCCAAATACATGCCCCAGGGCCTCAATCTCTATGCAAAACCTCAAGAGCAGAGATCTGCCTCAGCCCCAGGAAGATGCTGGCTCCTCAGGGGACCCTCTGAGGACTGGCATTTGAACCACCAATGAAGTTTCAAGGTCTAGCCTTTGTCTCTTCATTCCTACTCCCGCATCACATCTTCCAGAGGACTGCTTGATTTATTTCTAGAAAAAAACAGCATTGGGTAAGTCATTGCAGCCTCCCCAAACTTGGACAATTTCTTTTGGAGCCTGGAGCCCAGTGGTACAGCAGAAAAGAAGCAGCCAAGAGCCAGGGAAGGAGCTGAAGAGTCCCAGGATGATGCTCAATAGCACAGCCCCTTCCCTTTGCCTGGACTCTACTGTATACAAGATCACCATCAGTGTGATCCTCATAATCCTCATCCTCATCACTGTCGCCGGTAATGTGGTTGTCTGCTTAGCTGTAGGCTTGCACCGCCGGCTCCGCAGTCTGACCAACTGCTTCATTGTGTCCTTGGCAGTCACGGACCTGCTCTTGGGCCTCCTGGTGCTGCCCTTCTCTGCCATCTACCAGCTGTCCTGCAAATGGAGCTTCAGCAAAATCTTCTGCAATATCTACACCAGCCTGGACGTGATGCTGTGCACAGCCTCCATCCTCAACCTCTTCATGATCAGCCTGGACCGCTACTGCGCTGTCACTGACCCACTGCGGTACCCTGTGCTCATCACCCCAGTCCGGGTCGCCATCTCTCTAGTCTTCATCTGGGTCATTTCCATCACTTTATCTTTCCTGTCTATTCATCTGGGTTGGAATAGCAGGAATGAGACCAGCAAGGACAATGACACCATCCTCAAGTGCAAAGTCCAAGTCAATGAAGTGTATGGGTTGGTGGACGGACTGGTCACCTTCTACCTACCTCTGCTGATAATGTGCATCACATACTTCCGTATCTTCAAGATTGCTCGGGAGCAGGCCAAGAGGATCAATCACATCAACTCCTGGAAGGCAGCCACCATCAGGGAGCACAAAGCCACAGTGACACTGGCTGCCGTAATGGGGGCCTTTATCATCTGCTGGTTTCCTTACTTTACGGTTTTTGTTTACCGGGGACTGAAAGGGGATGATGCTGTCAATGAGGTATTTGAAGCCATCGTTCTGTGGCTGGGCTATGCCAACTCAGCCTTGAACCCCATCCTGTATGCTGCCCTCAACAGAGACTTCCGTACTGCATACCAACGGCTCTTCTGCTGCAAGCTTGCCAGACACCACTCCCATGAGACTTCTCTGAGACTGAACAACTCTCAGCTAATCAGGAGTCAAAGCCAAGAACCCAGGTGGCAGGAGGAGAAACCCCTGAATCTCCAGGTGTGGAGTGGGGCAGAAGTCATGGCTCCACAGGGAGCCACAAACAGGTAACAGCACTAACCATTTGTCCAGCATGTAGGGTAGGGGGAGGCCTCTTGTGAAAAGCAGTTAAAGTGAATACATGTAGGTGTTGTTGGTTTATATGCTGAGAATGCTCCATGACCACTTTGTGAACGTGATCTCATTTAATCCTCCAGTGGCTCCCTATTTAGAACATTCTATTTCCATTTTTAAAGGATCATCATAACAGTCTCAGACAACTTGTCAAGGACCACTCAGCCAGGACTTGGACCAAGGGCTCTTGGCTCCAGAACTCAGGGGCCCTTCTTTCTAGCTATGCTATCCTTTCAATCAGAAGACCTAAGTCTGAGGTGGACTCTACCACTTAGGAGTCACGAGTGTTCGACTAAGCCCTCCAGACAATGGTGGAGCAGCCAGGCACTGGCGCTGCCTCCTGATGGGCCCACTGTGAGGATAAATGAGAAACTTAGCTCCATTTATTGAGCAGCTACTATGCATCAGTTCTTATGGTGGGAACACTCAGGTCGGTGGGAAAAGAGGACCGACAGGTGGACTTTGAAAGCCAGGCAAAAGTGCAAGCACTATTCCACAGATAACAGGAAAAGATGGAACGGTTAGAGCCAAGCAGGGGATAACATAGGCAAATCTGTGCTGTTGGGTGTCTTTTTTGTTTTTGTTTTTTTTCAGTACTGGATATGGAACTCCAGTGTGCTAGGCAAGGACTGTACCACTGAGCTATACTTCAGATCTGTGCATGGATGTAGGGCCCTGATGTAGAAAGGCCGAGTGAGCCTACACACAGGGATAGCAGCAAGGGCAGTGTGGCACGGGTCCCTGAGAAGAGAAAGGGGAAGGAAGCAAAATCTAGTAGGCTACTTTAAAAAAAAAATTAAAAATTTTCAAACTATGAGATATACAGAGTACAGAAAATATAAGAGGAAGAAAACTTCAGAGTTCCCTCTCCAGGCCTAGTCCAGACTGAAAAGATAAACAGAATCAGTATAAAATTTAGGTAAATTCCTTGGTGACAAAGTCAGCGCTGGATCCAAATGACCCTGCAAGCTCACTTTGTGGAGAGAGAGCTCCTGTGTGAGCTTTAGCTGAGAGAAACAAATGAGACAGTGTTCCTAGAATGCCTGGTACATAGGAGTTGCTCAATAAATGCTTCTCTCCCTTGTCTTTGTTTTGGCCTCTCAGAAAGCTGGTCTGTGGAACTCATCCATCCATCCATCCATCCATCCATCCATCCCTTTGTTCATCCATTCATTTACTTGCAGATACGTGTCAGATTCTTACCACATGTTATGAACTATGCTCAGTGTCAGGGAGGTAGAAATGACATTTTATATGTGGATTGGCATGAGAAATTAGGAATGATCAATTGGGAAGCTATGCTCTTTATGGAAAATGCTCTGCCCTCACACGCCCTGTGACTTGAACAATGCGTCGTACCTCTAGGGCCTCAGTTTCCTCACCCTGCAGAGTATTGGATCTGTCCTCAGGTGGCTGCTCCACTCATCATGGAGTTGCCTGAAGGTCACATGAGCCAAGAGACATGAAAAGACCTTACAGTCCATCAATAGGATCCAAGTTTATCCTCTATCGCTGGGCATCACACTAACCAGTGCCCAAGTGGACACTGCAGACCCACACCCTGGGGCTCTGCATTCTGTTGGACAGCTGTGGGGCCAAAACTCTCTCAGTAGAGTCCAGGGCTTCATATCCCTCCTGGTCCACACCGCTGTCACCCTCTCCCCACAGCCGGCAGTGTCCCTCCATAGACTAGGGGCCCAGGCCCTTCACCCTACACTTCTCTCCTGCTAGAGCAAGCCTGAGCACCCCAGCTCCTGGACTGTTCCCAGAGCCATCTCCCTGACTTCCTAGGCTCCTAGCATAGAGATCCACATGCCCAAGTTCACCCTCCGCTCCAGCACAAAGATGTGTCCAGTACGCACATCTGGAGGCCTCGGCAGGCTGTCCTGATAGATGAAATGCCTGTTGGAGTCTATCCTTCCAGGAGCCTGCATTTAGAAGGCAGCCTCAGCAACAAAGCTAATTTAGTTCACAATGTGTAAGGAAAAAGAATAAAAACCACATGGCTAAGAGCTAGACAGAAGATAGTTGACACTATTCAGTTTAATCGTGTGTATCACTTTGTACTGTTCCTTCCTATTTGATTCTTGACTTAATAAGCTACCTTCTAACCTAATCCTTAAGGGCACATATGCATCCAGTGAGCACTTTAGAAGAATAGTGAACACTCACTAAGCACCCACTATTTACCACTTGCCATATCTGACACCAGTTCCATGTAGTAATCATTTGGCGGAGCCATCGTGCCCCCCCCCCGCACCCCATGCTAAGGGTACATGGAGAGATAAGAAGCCCCCAGCCCCACACCACTGCTGTTGCCATGTGTAATTGCTCACAGCTCAGTTATAGAGCAACTTGTGCAGGGGTTGAAGTTCATCATTCTCAGCGCTGAAGAACAGTGAGCATTCCAGCCCCTTCATTTTATCCTTTATTTTCTGGGCTGCAACTTTAAATGCAAACAGAAAACCCTGCTCACCCATGGTGGGGTAGAACCCTTGAGACTGGGGTCTTCATTCCATTCTCAGCCAAGCCTGTGAATTAAGGGTCTGTTTAACCCCCACTCTATGGATGGGGTTCGGAGGAGGCAGGCAACTACCCAAGTGATTCACCTTAGGAAGCTCTGTCAGAAATAGCAGCTCCGATAATTTAGTGTCTTCTTGGTGCTGAGGACAAGTATCGACTTTCTCTTCAGGTCCCACAGCCACCCAGCTAAGAGGTGGCATCCACCTGGGTCACACACAGCTGCGGAGTCAGGGCCAGAGCCCACGTGCCCAGAGCTCACAACCAAGGTCTGTCTCCCAGTCCCTGGGCACAGTGGGCAGAGGGCTTCATGGAGGATGGGGGAGCCAGCTGGAGGGCTTCCTGCCAAGGTTGAGGGCACAGGCATGGCAGGAGGCCAAGCAGAGCCAGGGGGCTTTTCTCTCTGAGGCTGCCAGAGCAATCAGAGCCTGGCATGTTCCTTGATAAGGCCGGCTCCTGGCTTCTCTGACCACTGATAGCGTATCCTTCTTGTGCTCTGCCTGGGGACAAAAACCAGCACTGACCCAGAGCTTTCTTGCTGCCAACACTGGGGTGTGTGCCTGGGCTAAGAATTGTGGATGCAACTGATTCAGCATGCCCTGAGTGGAGCGGGCAACACAGTCAGAGAGGGAGACTCCAGGAGACAGTGACTGAGCTGGCCCATCCTCCCTGCCCTGGGGCCAGCCAGCAGCATGCTCTCCAGTGTGACATCTCTGTCTCTCCTTCCTTGCCTATACGGCTTCACCTTCGCTCACACCCTCACCCCACCTATCTCTGCAAGCCCTGATCCTGTTGCCCACCCACTCTCTCCCATCACTTGCAGTGAACTATCCGAAGCATGAATCTCTCCTGCCGTAGTCCCTGCTCACTACCTTCCACTGCATCCCATTGCCTCCTGGATGCAGCTGTAGCAAATGACCACTAACTATAGGCTTACAAGGAACACACTGCTCTTCTATTGCAGTTTAAGAAGTTGCTATTCTCCCTCAGCCTTCCAGAGTGCTGGGATTACAAGGAAATACCACCTTGTCCAGCAGGCAAATCTGAAATTTGGGTTTGGGAGAGCTGGTTGCTTCTGGGGGCTTCCAAGGAGGATAAATCCTTTTCCTCACCTTTTGAAGCTTGTGGGTTCCACCTGTACTCCTTGGTTCCTGACCCCTTTCTTGTGCTCATTGTTCCAACCTCTCAGCTGTCACTACCTCTACTCTAGACATCTCAGTGGCCCTCTGCCTCCCTCTTACATGGACATTTGTGATTATGTGTTTACTGTGCTTGGATAATCCAAGATGAGCTCCCATCTTTAATTCCTTAACTTAATCACATCTATAAAGTCTGTTTTGCCATATAAGATGACATCTCTGATCAAGGAAGATGTGACCCTATTTGAGGTCCATTATTCAGCCTTCCATATGTCCCAACTTGCTCCCTGGTACTAAAGGACCTTCACAGTTCAGTCCCAGGCCATCTTCCTCTTCCATTTCCTGCCAGCAGCCCCAGGCCCACAAGTGCCTCCACCACCCTCTGCCCCAGCCAAAATAAGACCCTTGGTGTTTGTTCACTCAAAAGCATTTACCTGCTGGATAAGGTGGTATTTCCCTGTAACCCAGCACTCTGGAAGGCTGAGGGAGAATAGCAAGCTCAAGCCCAACGTCAGCAACTCAGAAAGACCCTGTCCTAAAATAAAAAAATAGTGCTAGACACGTAACTCAGTGCAAAGGCCCTGGGTTCAGTCCCTAGCACTGGGAAAACAAATGAAGACTCCCAAGGACTTGCTAGCCTCTGGCACTGAGGCAGCAGAGAGCAGGCCGAGGCTCTCCTCACACAGAGTAAAGGCTCTGAGCGTGGTCCACAGACCAGCAGCTCCCTCCCAGAAACAAAGCAGCTGGCATCAGGCCCGCAGCCTCCGTTTTGGCAGGTCTAGGATTGGAGCCCGAGGCCATCTGACTTCAAGTCCTGGGCCTTTTCTACAGTGAAATGCTGCCTGGATCCTGCTTCTGACCAACACTTCAGTGCTAGTCCCATAGATGCCAGACAGGGAAACCAAGGCACAGGGAAGCAAACGACCTGGTTGGGTGCAGTGCAAAGCAAGCTCAGGGGAGCTGGACCCCTGCCCAGTGCTCTTTAGGTCCTTTCTCACCCACTCTGCTCCCCACAATCTCCCAAGGCTGGAGATATGATTCATAAGCATCTGGCCTATCAGCAGCCCTTCCCTGGCAGGTGTGGCACTTCCTCATTCCTGCAGAGCCCCTTGCTTGCCTGTAGTGGCTTGGATCTGCCCAGGCATCTGGAGGGTTTGACCCTAGATGGGCATAGTGCCTCTACCCTCCTCCTTCTACCCCTCCCCATGCCAAGGAAGTGACCCCAGCCAGCCTCTGCCTAGCCCATCACATCTGCCCTCTGTCCCTCTGTGGCC